ATGCCAAGGAGCCTCTGACGCACAGGACAGTGGTGTCACAGCAGAAGGGCTGTGCCACTGGTCCTGACGGTCACTGGTGCTCTGGGCTTCCCCAGCTGCCTGTCAGCTCTCAGATGGCAAAGCTATCACAGCAGGAGCAATCTCTGTTACACATGCATGGTCTGTATTACAGGGGGGCCTCTGATTGGAGGCAGCAGTGTATTACTCCGAAATAGAAAAATACCACTACTAAGAGAACAAAGACTTTCAACTGAGATTAACATTTTATTGCCTGGGCAGTAGGTATCAAAGGGCTTTATGGCTCTTCTGGAGGCACTTCAGTCCAGCTGGATTAAAATCAGCACAGCTGTTCCCCAACTGGTTTTAAAAATGCTTCCAGCAAATGCCACTTCCTGCTGTTGCTGTCCTTCTTCTGGAAGCTGCACCATCCTGCTCAGCCTAGCTCAGAGACTTGCTCTTCCACTTCCTCCTCCTCCTCCTCCTCCTCTTCTGTGTGTTTGCTTCAAGCCCAGCAGTCTCCATCCGTGCAGCCTCTCTGCGCTTCCCAGCAACAACCTTCAGCACAAAATTAATGAGTAGAGCATGGCAGGGGGTTGCCAGGAAGCAAATAAAATTGCATACACAAACAAATGAGGCTGTCAGTATAGGAGTTGTCAGGCTCCTCTTACTCTGCTCTCCCTTCTACACTGGGCTTGGGCACCAGGAGTGTATAGCTCTGACTGGTACTTCCTGCACTGATGGGTCAAGGTGAGCTCTGCTATAGCCAGACGACTCCTAATCTGCCTTGGGGCTGCTCAGCAGAGGCAGTGGGACAGGTGTTTCCCTTTACAGGCCATGTGGAGGTGAAACTTTCAGATAGTGAGGACTGCACAACCAGCAATAACAATTGTTTCTGCCTCTGCTGTGGCTGATGGGGTACAGAAACCTTTGGCAGGGATGGAGAAGGGCTGGAAGCCCCAGGCCTCTAACTGCACTTGGAAGTGAGCAACAGTGTGTACATTTAACAGAAAATAGTTGAGAGTGCCTGTGCTGAAGAAGCCAGGACAGCAGGACTGGAGCAGCCCCTCTTCTGCTAAAGAACTGTGGTGGGCGATCCTGGTGGGAAGCTGACCAGCAGAGTGACAGAAGGACAGTTCAGAGCCTGTTAAAGCTCCTTTGATTGCTCTCCGATGCACTGCGTTGAGTAAGGCTCTTGCTGTGCTCCAGCCTAGATTTCACCCATCTCTAGGATGCAGATGCCATCTGCAGGAGACACTCGATCCAGACTCCTGCAAGTTACAATAGCTGGGAAGATTTAATTCTAGTAATCAGAAAAGAGACTCTGCCTGCATCCCTGCCTGCACCCCGAGAGGGAAGCACAACCCTTTTTTGTGGAGGAGAGAGCTGCAATGGCAGGGGGGAGTGAAACAGCCTCTCTCAGCTCGGGTCCCGGGGCGGGGGAGCCTGGAGAGTTCAGGCACCCCTCCTAGTGTAGGGTGTAGATTGAAGGTCTCTCCCTGTAGAGCTGGGGGCTTCCCACCTCCAGCAAAAGTGTGTTTGACAGTATTTAGACTGAAAGACTCGAGTTGTCTGCTCCCCCAGCTAACTTCTTCCCCAATGTGCCTCTTAGGTTCTCCTAAATACACAGGTCTGTGGGACTCTTATCTAGTCCTGACCTGAGGACCAGTTTCTAAGACAGATGATGTTCTTATCTCTGACTAACCAGTTTCTAAGAAGGATGGGTATGGTTTTGAATGGTCATTAGCTTCATGAGTTGGGTCTTATCTTGCTAAAAGCCTTGTTTAGTGCAATATATTAGGAAATCCCGAGCACACTCCCAACACATCTCTCTGTCCTTTGGGTCACAGTGCAGGTAATACAATACCAAGACTGAGCTGAAAACAGAACTTGCTGTGAGCCAGGTCCCAGCTCACCAGAAAACAAAATGCCGAAAGCAACTTGTCCTGCTGTGGAGGTTTCCACGGATGACTGAAGATTGTCAGGTGTGGATAAGCTGTCATCATATTAGAAGCATTTAATAGCGATCAGCAGTTTAAAAGAGCCTTAATACCATCCATACTTCGCTTGTGCACTAGGGAATTGCCGTGCCTGGTGCTGAAGGGTGTAACTTTATGACCATTCTTGCCAACTGTTTTGCTAAATCTCCCAAATTTCTTTCTTGAGGATGTATGGAATGTGCTCCCTGCTGCCACCCCTCTCTGAAGGGATGGAGCTCTCGGCTTGCTGCAGCTGGGATGTGCCCTATAGCGGTGCCAGGCACTCAGCCCTCCTTGCTTTCTTGCCTCCAGATGTGGCAAGTGGTCCTTGCCAGACTGAGCATTCTCTGGCAGTGAGTGAGAAAAGCAAGCAGATGGGCTCTCCAGAGCGTGTGTGAGCAGATGGCAGGTGAGCTCTACCTTCCGGAGGTGGAAAACACTTGTTCCCAGAGGTTTAGGGGTGAAAGCTCGGCCAGCAGTGCCTGGGCTTACAAAGAATCCATCCCGAGGTGAGAAAGCTGAACTGTGCCTCCCCCCTTGGGTTCCAGCAGTGTTTAGGAAAGAAGGCGACAGATGCCATCCATTTAAAACAAGCATGTCAGTAACAACCACAGCCTGAACCAAAACAGATGTCATCTCTATGGCTGTTAAGCCTGAAATTTCGCAGGCTGCCATAAGCGCTGGACAGCGTAGCTTGAGGTTCTCCAGTCGCCTGTTGTGCTTCCTGAAATGAAGACCTCATGCTCACACCTCAGAATCCAGTTAATCTGCCATCAGCACCAAATAGTCTTTCTTCCTCCTGACATCTCTGGGAAAAGGCTTTGCATACACTTCGACTCCGCTGAGAAAGGCGATTTTTCAAGCTCCCTAACAATACAGGAGGACCAACGGTACTGCAACCTGAAAATAGGTGCCTGTTTTCAGAACAGTAACTGTTCACCATCCCATTCTTTTATTATACGATCTGTTTGAAAGTAAGTAAAGTATTTACTGAAATTCCCTTTTGGTACTAATTAACTCTTCACAGCAAGGCTGTTCTCCCAAACACAGTTTGTGCAGCATCCCATATACTAGCTCTTCTCCCAGAAGTAAAAATCATCTTAAAACACCTATTTTCTTCATCTGAAGAAGTAAAATGTACTGAGCCCCAGACATAAGTTCTGAAAAGCAGCTTCCCTGATACTTGAGCCTCTCTTTATACCCAACCTGAACTTTGGAACAGTTCAGGTGCTATCTCTAGATATTCACAAGACAGAATTATCATCTGATTTACTGAGAGTCTGCTGCATGATTGGGAGGGACTTTGAGAGGGGTTTTAGCATTGTGTATGTCTGCCTAAATAGCAGCTCTTGTAAGAGATTAAAACAAACTTTTGGACTTCCTGAGTGCCAGCATTTTAGAGGAAAAATTATCAGAGCAACTTGAATTGCTATCAGTGAACCAAGTAATAAGCATCAGCCCAAGGTAATTCATATCCCAGGGGATGAGAAATCTGGGGACCGTTATTTCTCGGTGGAGCCCTAGCATGGGTAACACTTGACCTCCAGTGTCTTTGGTGACACTGGCTCACGCAGCACAGACTCATTGCCATACAGCTAGTGTTGGGAATAAATGCTTTCTCCTCTGGTAGTTATTAATCTTCTTATTTTGATATTAGCGATTTTGTGCAGTGATTATAAGCAATTTACAATCCAAAGTGAAACTGAAATTCATATTCTTGGAGATTACATGGTGGCACTGACAATACTGTATTACAGAAAAAAAATACAGAAGCAAAGATTGTATCTCCAAACCATGTAGTAGCAAAACTGAATAGTCAGTCATGTTCTTACTGAAATATCCAGCCTGCCATGGTCTTGGTTTACAGCTTACCTAATTCCTGTGACTGTGCTGCTGTGCACAAGACACAGGGGAATGTGACTATTGGATTTTTTTCTTACAAAGTGTCCAACATGAATTTTACAAACCCTTTTTTCAGTTTGTTGCTGAAAATATACTTTGTGATCTTTGTCATTAGCTGCCCCAACTAGCTCCAACTTTGACACAGTCTATGCGTAGATTACTACGTGTCTCACCCACTTGTGGATTAGTTCCCCCCCTTGATGAGGGGACTGGAGCATCTCTCCTGCGAGGAAAGGCTGAGGGAGCTGGGCTTGTTCAGCCTGGAGAAGAGAAGGCTGAAAGGGGACCTTAGAAATGCCTACAAATATCTGCAGGGTGGGTGTCAGGAGGACGGGGCCAGACTCTTTTCAGTGGTGCCCAGCAACAGGACAAGGGGCAACGGGCACAAACTGAAGCAGAGGAAGTTCCTGTGGAGTCTCCTTCTCTGGAGATATTCCAGACCCGCCTGGATGCGGTGCTGTGCAGCCTGCTCTGGGTGACCCTGCTTCAGCAGAGGGTTGGGTGACCCACAGAGGTCCCTGCCAACCCCTAACATTCTGTGATTTGACTTGACTGATTGGACTGACCTAAATTTCGTAAGTAAATATTCTACAGAGGTTTCCCAAGTTTTCATTCTTAACCTCCTAAACTCACTGATGTGGGGAAAAAACTCTTCACTTGCTGTGTTCCTTCCCTCGCTGTGTTCCTTCCCTCACCTACAGCTAGGTATGCGAACCCAGTTTTACTCTCCTTCTCCGGTCTCTCTCTGCCTTGGGAGAACTGTGCAAGGCTTGCTGCCTCGGAGCTCTACACACAGCAGTTCGACGGAAGGCTGTGTGCAGCCAGGGCTGGAAGCAATTTGATCCAAAGGCCTGTGCTTCCCACTGTGGGACCACCCTGCTGCTGGAAGTGTGGGTGCCGCCATGCTCCTCATCCACCTTTCCAGAAACAGGGAGGAAGACAAAAGAAAGGCACAACTAGAAAGGCGTCGTGCCTTACATTGGGTTCTCTCTTTCTGCCTTGGTACCGTCGCTCTTTTACGTGCCGTGGCTGTGGCACACAGGCCCGAGAACGTCGTTCAGCTCAGCTTTTTACACACCAAACAGGCTTCCTCTCTCTCAGGGCTGAGCTTCCCTCAGCTCGATGCCCTTCATTGCCCTCGCAAGGCACGCGGCTGCCCTCACCCGCCTACTTCCGCCCTTGCCGCAAAACCTCGCGAGATCTCGTCTCCTCCCCCCGGCGGGGCGGCCCCGCGAAGGTGGGTCGCTGGGCGCAGTCTCGCGAGAGC